GGACCCATGTTTCCCACTGCAACCCCCAGGGACAAGTCATTCCATGCTGAGTGGTGTGCGTGCAAGTGTGAGGATGTACATGCACGTGTGTGGGTGAGTGTGCGTGTGTATGAATGTGCATGTGTGTCTGTGGGTGTGAGTGTTTGGAGTGTGAAAGTATACACGTGTGTGTGATAGCAGTGGATCTGTATGTCTATATGTGCATTTATGTGTTTCTGTGAGTGTGCATGCGTGTGCAACAGCAGTATATCTGTATGTCTTTATATGTGCATATCTGTGTATTTGTGCGTCAGTACACAAGTGCGTGCGAGAGAGGGATGAGTCTGTGTGTTTCGGTGTGTATGAGTGTATACATGTTTGTGCATTCATGTATCAGAATATGCCAATTTGTGTGTGTTTGCATATATGAGTGTTTGTGACTTCTCTATATATAATATTTATGGATGTCTGTAAGAGTTGGTGTGTCTTTGTGTATGTGTATATATAGTGTGTGCACATATATGTCCACGTATGCATGTATATATGGTTATATGTGAGTTTGTGTGTGTCTATGTGTGTGCATCTGCATGTATTGTGTATTTGTGTGTGGGGCGTTTGGGTGTCATTGTAAACATGCATGCATATGTTTATGTGTGTGCATATACACATGTGTGTGTGTATCTCAGAGTTTGTGTGTGCGGATGTGTGTATGCATCTGCGCATATCGCTATGTGTGTGTGAGTTGGTGTGCCTCAGAGCTTGTATGTGTCTACTGATGGCATGTGTGAGCATGTGTGTGTATGTATTTGTGTGTGTCTGAGCCTGTGCATCCCTGTGTGCATCTATGTGCTTGTGTGTGGGGTATGTGTGTATCTCTGTGTGTGTGTGAGCTTGTGTGTCTCTGAGCCACAGTGTGTCTCTGCGTGTCTCTCTGTGCTTGTGTGACACCGTGTGGTAGAAGAACTGTCCCACGCACCTGCAGTGGGACCCTGAGAATCCAGACAGGGCTGTGGCCTGAGGCTGGGATGGAGCTGGCATTCACAGGGCCAGGCTGTCAATAATCAGATTCCTGAGAGTCAGCCTCAGAGAGGACCAATTCATGGCAAGGTGTGAATACCCCGGCGCTAATTCCCTGTCCATCAGAGAACAGACATGCACTCACAGGGCTGAAGGTATAAGCTCCAATGATACAGGGTTTGGTTCCAGAGCTCAACTAACCTTTTACGAGAGCTTTGTGCACAGGTTGTCATGGGCCACGGATTCTGTTAGGAGCCAGGCTGCATACTGTTCCCAGAGAGGCCTCTGGAGATATCTGGGAGATTCCAGAGCCTGCGAGGGCCCTGGACGGAGCACGCAGCTCCGCCTGCCTTGCACCTCAGGTCCCGAAGGACGTGACTTTGATGGTGGAAGTGTCACACCACAGGCCAGCTCTTAGGAGCAGGGTGAGCAGCGATCAGCCTGTGCCCTCCAGGTGAACCACCACTCTGTCCAGAAAATTCTGACTCACAGCGACGCTGCAGGCCCGGCTGGCATGGCCCCTGTGCGTTTCTGAGATGCTAACTCTTTATGGGAGGAAAAGAGCCCCGGACACGCCAGCAGAGGCAGGGCCTTGATTTGCCCGTGGTGCTGTCCTCCTGCTTCTGCTTCAACGACACCCACCGCGCCCTGCTGTTCCTGGGCGGGGCCGGGGCTGGCCAGGCAGTGGTTATAGCAGTGAGCACCCCGGGCTGGGCAGAGACAGGCACCGAGACAAAGGTTTCAGGGAGTGGGCAGGTCTGCACGTCTCTGCCTCATGCCGAGGGTCTCAAGCGAAGCCCAGGGCAGTTCTGGAGCTGGGCGGGCCCCACCTAAGCCACCACCAGGGTGACCCAGCGAACCCCATGGCTGTGGGGTGCAAAGCTATGAAACCGGGAAGAGAGGAATGAGCCCCCAGGAGGCCAATGGAAACATGCGCGTACTGCGTCACTGCCAAGGGTCTGCCTGGCAATGGGGTCCAGTTCCAAAGGGTCCTGAAGACACCTACCCCTTCCAGGACCCCCAGGGACAGTGGGTAGCCCCGCCTCCCACACTGCTCCTTCGGAGCCCCCTGCCCAGCTCCAAGCAGGCACCCACCTTGGACTGACTAGAGCTAAAGAGACCTCAGTTCTAGGGCTTCTATTGGCAAGATGTGGCATGTTCTGCTCAGGGTGGGTGACGGAGCCCCTTGATTAGAGGCTGGGAAGATTTGGGCTCCGAAGGGTTAAACAGGAGGGAGAGAAGTTGGTGTAGTCAGATAGTCAGGACAAGTGGAGGCCACAGGAGTGAC